TGGCTCACTTCAGAACTCTTTAAATGCTGTGTTATGTCACGCCTTTCATTCTTTTTATTTGTCAGGTTTGACTACGATATGAAATAAAGGGGTCTGGTTGCCATGTGCTGGAATTTAACATAAGCGTCTAAATGTTTACTCTCTTCAGCTGTGAGGGAGACTTGGATTTAATTATCTTAGCAAGCTTCCAATTTGTGATTAGTAAAGTATAATTTTGCTACCATATGCATACAGCATGGTGTGGAAAAGGTGCAGGTGCAGTCAATAACTCCCTTCGGGGGGAGGTGGGGAGGGAATAACCAACGAGCCAAACAAACTAGCATTGAATGGCATTCTGGTTTCATCTTGTAACACTCTGGAAATCAGACAGTTTCTTGCTCAGCCTGTTTTTGCGGTGTTTTTTTCCATTTTTGCTGTCCAGGTTTTAGTGGTCTGGAGAGTAATGACAAGTCATCCTTGAAAGTGGCAGTGAAGTGTGGCAGTTTAGCTCCACAACTGGAGAAACTAAAGAGGCGTGTGTGGTGTTGCAAACTAACATAAACACTGTTTGCAGGAAAAAAGGAGTGCAATTTCTTTTGCTTAAATCTCTGCAACAGGAAAGGATGTGCAAATATTTAATAGACAGGAAAAGGCTGGGATCATGTCACCGATTCTGTGATGTTAAACAGTGAACGTTACAGACTGTCAGGCGGTGCTGCCCCCGTTACCTTGGTCAGGGAAGCTTTGTCTCTTTGGATTATACAGTAGCAGCAGCTGCTTGACTCTAATGAAGACTTTGCCTGATCCTACAGCCTGGAGTGAGACGGTAGTACTGGCGGTGACCATTGTTTAAAAATCTTTCCAGGCTGCCAGACATTTATTTTCAGGTCTTTGGAGCTTAAAATGAACCAAATGTGATCCATCTCCTATCAGATACCTTACTGTCAGAAATTAACTGCCTTGTGATAATAAATTAGCCCCATCGGAGCAGCTGGGGAAAGCAAGGAACTTTCTCAGTTATTCAGAGCACCGCCTTCTGCTGTCGACAGTTCCAGTGAGCTGGTACCAGTTCTACTTTGGCAGAGACTGAACATAAATGAGCTCTTTTTTTAACAGAATCAGTCCATTTTTATTGGGAAACTGTGGCTCATCTTCTTTTTTCTCCTTAGAATCTCTCAGCAAAAATATGTCCAGAACCAGGCTTGGACCTGTGTCATTGTATTAGACCAGCCGTAATTTAGTTTGTTCCTGTAGAATTTTGTCGCTACCCCACGCCTTCCACAGGCAGAGGACTGGTCCAGTGCTGTTACAACAGTGATCTGGGAGGTTTGCTGAGGGGGATCTCTGTGTTGACAGCTCTCTTCCATTGTTATAAATAATAACTCTCTTCTATTGTTATAAAACATACCCATAAAATACAAAAGTAATTCCTACTTCCCAGTTTTAACATCCAATATTACCCCAATCATATTATTGTCAATTAAAAAGATGCTTTCACCTGTTCTCATTTACTGATCACCAGAATAGTTGTCAGCTGGTTTCCTTAAGAGACTTCTTGTTGTTCCTTTTACTAGAAAATCCCTCAACAGTTACTTTTCAGTAGTTTCCTACATGTTACCATGATCAGCAGATTAAGATGCATTTTTTTCATGCACTTTTAACATCTTATCTATTATATTTGTATTGCAAAACCAATTGTGTGGAGATTTACCCAGACAAAAGTTACGCTTCAAGGTGATTGCATGATTGGCATGTGTGATAGCTGGGAGAGACAGTCAAGACGAGAATATTTGAGAATTGTTGCACTGTTGCAAGTAAGACAACTTGAATAACTAGGTGTTGAAGAGGTTTAACTGCTTTCATGTAAGTACTAGAGTGTTCTAGAGTTGTCATGCTGTAATGTGGTTTACTGCTGTTTATGTGGCAGCAGCCTGAAATCTTTTCTCCTGTTCTTCATGTATAAATATATTTCAAATTACTGGACTTTTACTTGGATATGCTGTATGTGTTTTTAAAAATCTGTTATGGCTGAACTTCAGTTGAACCTCTGGATAATCCCTGGCCACAGAGCTAAGCTTTACAATTTGAATATTACATTACATTTTATTAGAATAAGTTTTATTCATAAATATGAATGAATGAATATATTACACGTGTACCAACACCACAAATCCAAACCAATTAACACCCCTTCATGAGAATATCTTTAAAAAAGGTGACTGCATTTACAAGGTTAACTTCTTTTTCTAATGGTGATTGTTTTGTACAGAATATTTATATTTACTTGTTTTCCTGTAAATATATGTACTTGCTGCTATATTTGCATAAGGCATGGTTAATATTTTGAAAAGAGTTATTTGGAAGGAAGGGCAAATTTGGTTTTGCAGGGCAAACAGCGTAAGTCACAAGAACAGCCAGACACGGTATCAGAAAGCTGTTTTCATCTGTAGAACAGTTTGACAGGCACCGTTGTTCCTAGCGCAACCGTTGCTTTAGCTCAGATGAAGGATGTGTACAACAAAGGATTTGAACACACGAACCTGGGGAGCAGCACCCCGGAACTGACTGTCACAGCCCGAGGGAGGCGCAGGTGGGAGGGTTAGCGCGGGAGCCTTGCTCCTGCCAAGGCACAGGCAGCAGGAGGATCCAGGTGTCTGTCTGTGGGATGTGCGCGTGTTTGTCGGAGGGACCCTGAGCCCCGGCCCTCCGGTAGGTATTCCCGCCGTAGCAGTGTGTGACAGTGCTGTTTGTTAAATGATCACTTGTCACTTCCCCTGTTGACTCTTCTGCTTCCTCAACTCCTGCCCTTCCAATTCCTCGAGCCACCACTCCAAAGGGACCGCGCCGATTTTGACAATGGTGATTACTCGAACTATCTGTTTGAGATAAACATCCCTTTGAAAGGGAAGGCAACTAGGAATGAAAATGGAGTGGGATCTGAACTGAAGGGAGAAACAGAATTCTGCTTTAAACTAATTATCACTACTATTATTTTTTGTATCTAGAAGGACCAGATGTTAATGGGTGAAAGCACTGGAAAAGCTGTGGGGGGTGAGGGAGAAATTCACGACAGCAGCGCTACATTTCTTGACCCATTGTTTTATGCTTAGTGGCTGGGGGATGCTGTGAAGCTCTATTAATACAGAGTTTTTTTCTGTCACTGGGGCAGGTTCTTCAATGCACATGGATCAGCCTTGCTGCCAAGCTCTCTATGACTTTGAGCCAGAAAATGAAGGCGAGCTTGGGTTTAAGGAAGGGGACATCATAACTTTGACCAATCAGATTGATGAGAATTGGTACGAGGGGATGTTAAATGGAGAGTCTGGCTTCTTCCCCATTAATTATGTTGAAGTGATGGTTCCCTTGCCTCAGTGATTGTGTCATTCGAGCTGTGAACGTGATTTCATGACTGAAATGGATTCACAAATGTTCTGTCAGTGTGGCATTCTGTGAAAGCCTTGCTATTTGACTGACTTACTGACTTTTGTATGCGTCTTTTTAAAATGTATTTATTTTATATTCAAAAAGATTTTACCTTTCCTGAGTCCATCAACCTGCAAAAAAACCCATACCCAGTTTTTTTGCTTTGTGCCTTGAGGATCACTGTATGAAGTGTTTACTGGTAGCTCACTGTTGCTCCAAAAATGCATTTCCTTGCTATTATTGTACGTGAATTTTTTTTTATCTTTGGCTGCAATGATTTTAATATTGAAAACCATTTTTAAAAATACTGTAAGTGAAGCTAACTGTAACCAGTTCCTAAGTTACTGATGTCATTGAGCTCTTTTCATCTATCACACTGTAATTTAACCTGAGCGAGTTAATCCATGTTTCACATTGTATGTTGACAAAAGGCAAAGTGGTTGTTGTCAATATTATGATGTTGTTGTACTAAGTACAAGTTCTCAGCATTGAAAATTCCTATAATTTACTGACCAAACCGAATAAATATTTCTGTGGGATAAGAACGGTGGTTGCTGCTTCTATTCCTATAGTTCTGGCATTTGTTTTTGAGCCGAAGGTCACTTTTGCTAAATATGTCAGCTTTCAGTGAAGAAAACAATCCTACATTAAAAATGCATTAATTGAGCCCAAGTATTAGTTTTATGACACCTCAGCCACTGGAATGTTAATAATCTTGCTCTCTCCCTACTGATTGTGTAGCATCTATAATGTCTGTTAAAATTTTCTTCTAGCAGGAGGATAAGAGAAAAATTCCTTTCAACTAAGTACAAACTGATTCAATACAGGATTTCTGTAGAACACCATTGAGATAAACAGGTGACTATCACTGGTGACTACTGTAAACAAATGAAAAGTCAACATGCTTCTACTTTTTTTTATTTATTTATTTGAAGGGGATGGAAAACAAGGAGAAAGAGAAGGCTAGGGAGAGAGGGAAAGACGCACTGTAACTGAAAACATGCAAAAACCTCAAAATGGAGGACAGACTGACTGGTATTGTAAGTACAACACGGGAAAGAGATGGACCTGTTGGAGCAAGTCTGGAGGAGGGCCGCAAAAATGATTAGAGAGCTGAGAGAGTTGGATTTTTTCAGCCTGGAGAAGAGAAGGCTCTGGGGAGACCTTATAGCTCCTTCCAGCACTTAAAGAGGGCTTACACGAAAGATGGGGCAGACTTTTTAGCAGGGCCTGTTGCAATAGGACTAAGGGTTGTAAACTTAAAGAGAGTAGATTTAGACTAGATATAAAAGAAGTAACACTGGCCCAGGTTACCCAGAGAGGTGGTAGGTGCCCCATCCCTGGAAACATTCAAGGTCAGATTAGATGGGGCTCTGAGCAACCTGATCTAGTGGAAGATGTCCCTGCTTGTTGCAGGGGGGTTGGACTAGATGACCTTTAAAGGTGCATTCCAACCCAAACTGTTCTATGATCTTTAAATACTATCAAAATGAAGATAGAATTTTTTTATTTTTTTTTTTCTGTTACCCATCTTTTGCTTTGCTTAGTAAATGCAGATGTAGCAATGACCAAAAAATTCAGCAGCCCCAGAGGAACATTTAGTCTTTTGCCAATTTGTCTCTGCACAACACAGTGCTGAGAAGGGAGCTGAACCCTTTATGGGCAAACTGGCTTGAATGCAGCTTCAGAGTTGCAAGCTGTATTTGGTTCTGTAGTCCAGTAGAAACAGCATTTCCCTAGAGAGGAAAGAATTTTGTGTGTATCACAGGTGCAGGAACTTTTCCATTTAAGAAGCATAAATAGCCCCTAACTGACTACCAAAACCATGGCTTTCTGGTGTCTCTCATCTCCAGCCTTGGCTTGCACAATGGTCACAAGGGAAGTAGAGGGTTCTGTGCAGCATCAGCTGCAGCCTGCTACTTTGGGCATGTTATCTCAGAATTTGGACTTGCTCATGTAGAAGAAAACTCCTCAGCCCTTCTCCAGAGTTTTTAAATGAAAGTAGCTATTATGTTCTGAATACAAAATGTAGGGGACAACTTTCAAAGGTTTTAGGGGTTTGGGATTCACAGCTTCTTTTGCCTTTTTTTCCCCTTTATCAGGGAGGTCTCCCCAGTCATACCTGTCTATAGCAGGCAAGAAAAGAGGTATTGAAATCTCTCTTCTGTCTCACCAGAATTCCCTGGAGGAAAGAATTACAGGTGTGTACACACACACCAGTTTGAATTCTCAATACACTTTGCTGTAGGCAGCTTGCCCTTCAGTGTAGAGCTCCTGGTCAGCTACAACAGATGTCACATGTAACAGGAAGCAGCTATGCTAAAATAGTAAGCTGGAAGCAAGTCAAGAGAGCATTATATATATATAAATATAATATATATTTTATATATAAAGTGTGTAGAAAGGCTAGGAAGACAATTTGCACAATAGGATCCATTGCACATCAGAGAATTGATTCTTTAATATGTGCCCCTTTTGAGACTGAACAAGTTTCATAGACTGTCTACTAAGTAGATCTTATTTCTTAGACCGTTGGTGGTATTGCCAAACACCACACTGTACTGCTGCTGTTTCCTATCAAGACTCAAACACTAGTTCAGATCTTTCATACCATCCTTCCCTTGTGCTATGAAAAGGTTTAACTTGAAAGACTGAAGATTCCTCTTAAATCAAATTTTTCAGCAGTTTGGCTTTATTTGAGGAACTGAGTAATAAATGTAAACAGGGCAGTACAGTGTATTTCTGAAGGTTTCCGTAGGGAATCTTCCCTAAACTCACCAGTTTTATTGCCTCAAAGTCTTTTGATCCACTCAGATAAGATCCATGAATAAACAGAACTTTATTATTTAACCTGCAAATATTAAACTCCAAGATTGCTTTTATATACATGAAAAATATCTTTAATAATTAAAAAATTCAAGAAATCAAGATAAATACAGCAATTTCATAGCAGCATCTATTTCTATGTGGGCCATAAGGTACAACAAGAATTCATATCTGCTAAAATGCAAGTATTAAAGCTGCATCTAGTCTCGATGTCTCAAAACTAGATTTTTTTAAATAATTTGAGAGTTTAAGCTAGTATAAGGAAAGCCTCACCTTAACAACTGCATCCTAACACAGAACAATTCTTAAATTCCGAACTGCAGACTTTGGCAAGGCAAGAGGCAGTCAAAAAGCTATTCCAGCATTTGGAGAAATCTGCAATCTCAGCTGCTCTTCTCCCTTCAGCTACACCCCTCCTGCTCTTAAAGAAAAGTGTACTTTCTGTGGCTCATCAAGGCCCTTTCTTTACCATAGCGCCAGCAGGTAGACGTTTTTGTAAAAAGAGGCTAAGAATAATTGAATGCAGTGGCCCCAGAGGCTGACTACCTGGTTTCTGAGGGTTATAGGTCAGGCTTCACATAGACTGCAGAGCTATTAAAGTTACAGTAAATTACATACTGGCCAATAGACAGTCCTCCCCCAGCTGCCCCATTAGACGTACACAAAGCAGTACTGTAGACTGCATGGAGATTTAGTACATCAGTATTCTAAGAGCAGATGCTTTGATGCACGTTTTGCTACATTTGGTGCTTCCTAGTTTTGATTTTTGTTTCAGCACCTCTTATCTAGCTCCTTAGAAAGCTGGCTTGTTGGGACCATTCAAACAGTGCGAATACAGCTAGTTACAGTACCTGCTCTGTTGGAATGAGATACTTTTTCACATTTACTGGGTACATCTGTCCAAGTTCAGTTTGACACAGCTATGCTGTGATATACTATATCTAGGAATACTGAAACTGGTGGATTTCCAGGTGCTAAAATATAGCAACCATACATTTATTAAGATGAGTATTTTTACAACTGGCTTTTAAATTTTAAAATGTTTCTCTCTAGCAAGTGATGTAGACCAGTTTCATGTATTTCAGCATCAGGATCTGAGCAGGAAGCATTGCAGACACTCAGTACTCTTCAAGATAGTGTTTTACTTCAGCTGAGTTTAGACTTGCTTAAGGTGCAAGCTAGGGTGTGATCTGGCCCATGCAATTTCCCATTCAGGCCTGAAACAAATTACACCTTTGGAGAAACACTGTATCAGAATTGTCAAGTATTTAGCATCATTCTAGGGCGTATGTTTAGAAGTTTTGTAAACTGTGTACCATCCTCTGTTTCAGCAGGTCATGGACACAAGATCCTGGTGTTAAAATAATAACAACTTCACATGGAGCTTGTATTCTACTGCTCTTTATACCAGTGAATCCAAGAACAGGGTCCAGTATCAGAAGGTAGGGAATTTCATCATTATGGACAATGTTTCTTACAGAAAGGTCAGATGGGAGATGTGAATTCCAAGTTTCAGATATTGCAGAAGACACCAAAACACATGTAGTCTACATCACCTGGGATTGACATGTGTTTTCAGATGATCATCTCTTTGTCCACATTACATGATAGAACAGCTGGTATCCTCATTTTGCTGCAGAAATAAAACATCAAGACATTAGGCTAATTAGCAAGTGTACAAACAGTATTTATTGCTTGTTATCTACTTGATCCTCATATAGGTGTGTGGGATTTTTAGTGTTTTGTAAATATAGTTACTTATTGATAAAGCAAGGCAAGTTTTCAGGAGAGCCAGTACTTGAAGTATGCTAGATGGTTTGGGGGTGGGGGAAGAAGAAAACAAGCTTTTAAGAATGTAAGTCCATGCAATACATGAGCCTGTGCCTTCCTTAATGAAAGGCTATCAAGCTATCTATCGCTACCTCAGTTCTGAACCATCAAAATTCAACTGGCATGCAGATTCATGCTACCTTAGTTAGGATGGTAAAAACAGAAGCAAGAACTATGGTAACCCCGCCTTCCTTTAAAAGCACAGCATGCTTTCTTTGCAATATTTTACTGCATGCAGGAAGTTAACTTTTTTACTAAGCTTCCATTATTTCAGTACTACCAATGGAGCAGAAGCATTGAGGTACTAATAGCAAAGGTTTGATAGGAATTCAGCAGACAGGAATGACATTAACATTTGAGTGGGAGTATTAGAATTGATTCTTACCAGAAGTGGCATACAACTGTATTGTAAAGTTGCTGATAAAACAGATTAGAGGTGTAAGGAAAAAAGTTACTTTTGATTTCCATCACTGATTGTCAAATGAGCCTTATTATTAGTCAATTCAAATGAAGAGCCTTAAAAAAAAAAAAAAAGAGGCCCTATTCCAAACATGAAGAGCAGCTTGTATCACTAGGTCTCTTATGAGCCTAAAGCTTCCACTAGTGTTACTTCAACCATTTTGGCATACGCTGTGCAGAATAGCATTATAGAACCTTTCTCAATAGCCTATTTAACAGGGTCTCACCCTCCTTCAGTGAGACTGAAAATATTACAAGAATGTGCATGTAAGTCGGGAGACACTGATAAACAGCCTTTAAGCCAGATAGTATTATATTAATAGATATTTACCCAGATTTTCTGTTTGAAAGAAGGACAAGGAAAGAACCAAGCAGCAGGCAGTAACTGCCTACTTGAGGTACATTTTCTTCAGAAAGACAGTACTAAGATACCTTTCAGTTTTCAGACAGGTATGTTATGAAAGTATCTAGGGAATGGTGGGAGCTGTAAGACCTGGTGCAGTAAGATGCATGTACTCCATGTAACTGTGTAAGATCAGTTTTAGCAAGAGCTGTGGTAGCTCAACATGCTGAGTCAGCAGGAGAGGGAGAATGAATTTTTAGGTAGGCACCCCCCTGTGCTCAGGGCCTTGGTGTTTTACCAAGAAAGGGGACTCTGCTATTTCAAGTCAAGAAACAAACCAACTCAAGGCTGGAGTACAGTCCATAACTGTTCAGTTATGATCAATTTAAAACCCTTGTATTAGCTCTGTTTTAGACTACTTCAGCAGTTAAAGATACCTGACTACTAGTATATCAAAGTACACTAGGAGCATCCTATATGCAGATATTCAGACTCATAATGTGATCAGTCAAAAGCCATTTGGAGGGGCTAGAGAGTCTTTAACAGGGCATTACAATATGCAAATTGTAGCCAAAGGATTATAAAGTATATTAAAGGCAAAACATGCTTATTCTATTTCACTGCATTAATTCCATTAGCGTGACCTGCATCTGTACTGAAGTTCCACTTTGAAAGTATTGAAGGAAGTACTTGTGACTGAAGCAAGGCTGAGATACTTTGCACAGCAAGATGAGAAAAAGTAGTTCCTGGAAATGATCTGGAACAAAAGGGTCTCAAACTCATGTTTGAATATAAGAGATATTTAGGGAACAAAAGGGTCTCAAACTCATGTTTGCCTAAATATCTCTTAAATTCAAACAATACACTGAGAACTCCTATTTCAGCCTTTTAATACTTCTGAAAATATTAGATTTCTTCAGTGTGAACCTAAGTTTATCTGAAAAGCCATTCAGGGAGACTCTTTGGAGTGTCAGGTAAGTCACTCATCCCACATAAATAAAATATCTAGTTAGCATTTGTGTTCTGTTCTTGGAGTAACAGCTTTTAAGTTCATTCGTAGTCAGATGTTTAGATGGAACAGACATTAAAGCTAGTATTTTTCAGTGTGTCAGTAGTAAGAGACCAAACAATTAATGCTACTATTTGATCTTAATCAACCAGAGAATAAGCAAAGCATCAATTCCACTTCTGATGCAAAGCCATGCAAGCTACATCCTACATAGGATGACAGAATGCAGCACTATTAATGAAGCAAGTTTTCTGTGAGATGACAAGCATGATCCTCACCATCTCACCTGCTTAAGGAGGCTCACAGGAACCACTATCATGACACCAAACAACATTTCTTTTTTCTTCTTTTGGTCTGACATCAAGAAAAATATAAAGAGTTGTAGGATATGGGAAAATGCTTAGGGAATTTTTTCATACAGTAATGAAAAGAAATAGCCACTGAATGATTCTGTGGATAGCACGTATTTAAGCTTCAGGCAGCTTACCTGAGATGGAAACTCCATTTCACTTCCAGTTATTTCTTCATAGTCATCATCTTGCTCACTGCTTTCTTCTCCTCTGAGTACAAGCATTATCTTCCTTTCTGCAAGTTCCTAGAATACAATTGAATTGCCACCAAGAACCCTCAAGAATTAAGTACAAACAAGTTTAGTATTAGGACAGTAGAAGCTCTTTACTCTCTCACTTACCTCACCATCATCTGTGATAAGTGTAACACCAATATTATCTGCAGTTCCCCAAGACTTCTGAGACTTCCAGACCAGATCACTAGGACCTGGGCTTACCCCAGCTGCTGCACCCCAGATCTGCAACAGATTTAGGGTGAACATCTGAAGATTCTTATTTGTAGTTAGATTAGGATTCAGTATAACATATACAACTCTTAAGTACTCCAATACCAAAGATGTCTGGTAACAGAAACTGAACTACTGTGATCCCTGACAGGTTAGTTCTTTTCAGGGCTATTAAGAATGGTGGTGATTTTTTTTTTTTTAACTGGAGACTGTAAAACAGTGCCAAAAAGGCTGTTAACAGCTTCTACCTGATGTAGAGGTAGCCTTGCTTGCACATGCATGCCATTTAAGTCACAGAGCCAAGCCATAGTTACAGACATACTTATAGCAGCAATTTGTGTATACAAGATAGCCTCTAGCCTGGGGTCACTCACAGATCTCTTGAGTAAGCTTGTACAGAGTTTGGAGTGCAGAACGTAGAATTAGGCTCTTTGATCACTATCTAAATGTACTTAGGGTACATTTTCACCTGGAGAAGAGAAGGCTCCGGGGAGATCTTATTGTGGTCTTCCAGTCCCTTAAGGGGGCCTACAGGAGAGCTGGGAAGGACTTTTTACTGGGGCATGTAGTGACAGGACAAGGGGGAATGGCTTTAAACTGGAAGAGGGCAGGTTTAAACATTAGGAAGAAGTTTTTCACTTTGAGGGTGGTAAGGCACTGGAACAGGTTGCCCAGAAAGGTTGTTGAGGCCCCATCCCTGGAGGGGTTCAAGGCCAGGCTGGATGTGGCCTTGGGCAACCTGGTCTAGTGGGAGGGGTCCCTGCCTATGGCAGGGGGGGTGGGACTTGAACTTCAAGGGCCCTTCCAACCTAAACCATTCTATGATTTTAGAGCTAATATTTAGCTTAGTACCATAAACCATGAGCTCAGCATTGCTGAACTGTAGTGGACTAAAGCTTTCAGCAACAGCAAAAGTCTTTGCACAACTTGTATCAAGTCACAGGAGTATGGGGAACCCTAAGAATAAACTATATATTGATTCTGTTAATGACAGCCCATTCCAATCTGGAATGATCAAGTTCAATTCAAGATCTAGCTTTAAAGAAAATTTAATTGGCATTTCATATCAAGTTGTTGCAAGGATTTCCCCCCATTTTCCTCTCTACATAATATAAGGATTTGAGTTTTTAGGCACTTGTATATCAATTTAGTTTTCCTTATTACATGAATCTATAGCTATCTAACATAAGAAAAAGCTCTGAGTAAGTTTTACAAAACCACTACCTACTGTAACTACTTGGCCCGCTTGAAGAGTGAACCGTGAAGGAAATTTATATGTTACATCTGGCACACTTCCAAGATGTCTTCTTAACACCCATCCATGTAGTGGTTGATCCTGTGGGACAATAAGTTTCTCTCAGCATTACAGACAAACACCATATTTTACAAGTGCAAGGTTCTTTCCAGACTCAAGCGTCAGATTTAGTTCTACTCCTGTAGCATACAAGAATCTGATTAATTTTGAGGAAGCCTTCAAGTTACCATTAAAGCCTCCCTAGGATTTCTCCCAGTACTTTCTTAGAATTAACCTTAGCCCCACAAATATAGGCACATCTATTCTTGCCTTCTGTTGAAGAGGGATTGTGATGCTCTGTATGAGGGAGATTCTGATAAATGAAGTCGATCATGCCCATCTACCAACTTGGGACTTATATATAACAAATAGATAGTGGCCTGTGAAGGTTTTAAGGCATCTCAGGCTGAAGTGGCTAAGCTACCAACCACAAGTTTTGGAGCTCTGAGGATTAATTCTAATAATTCTGGATTTGCAGACTAGTCAAAGAATTATCTAATTGGTCAGATAAACCCTCTACATGGATTAGATACTGTCAGCTCTGTTCACCCTTTTAGCTGTTTTAAGCTTTTGTAAGTAATAAGAAGCTGTCTTTATCCCATTTACTAAGCACATTAGTTCAAGAATAAGTAGTACTTCTAATAGTGCTAGACTGAACCTGATGAGAAACAACTGACAGTGTTAGAACCCAGTGCATCTCCCCCCAAAAGCATCTCCCAGACATTGCTGTGAACAAAACACCTGCAGTACAAAAAAGAATCAATCAGTCTCTAGTCTTCTCTTGAGAGCAGCCAGATTAGCTGAGAAGTCCCCACTTTGTATTTAGTTTGGCAGTACTCTTCCCTTGTCTCTTCAAATCCTTCCCTATTGTCATCTCTTACTAAGCTACAAGTCAGTTCTCAAGAAGTCATACTTTGCAGTGAAGGCCATGCAGACTTGAATGAATAGAAATACCTCATTAGATTTGTTTTTAAGCCTGACATATTTCCCATCTGCATCAATTTCTTCAATAGATATATTTCCAGAAAATGAAGCATGCTGAACAGTCTGAAATCCAGCACTGTGCCCTCTCTTTCTGGCTTCTTTCACTTTCCTTTTCTTCCCATGTAGGAGCCGTCGCCCTTGACTTGTTGCTTGAGTTGCAGCACTCTGCGAAGGTGGACTGGGTGACAGCTTTAGCCTAGAAGGGAGTCAGACAACATTCACTTGAATATCTGATCTGCTTATTTCATGTCATTTCTACCCTCCCACTGTAGCCAAGCCTAACAGCTTCTTATATCCAAGCTTTCCCTGAAGTCTTGAATATAAGATTTTATTTTTACTGGCAAGAGTAGCTAAGTAGCTTGTTAAGCCTGGAAGACAGCCCCAGAGTTCAGAGCAAGCTTGTGTCAATAAGAAGATTCCCAACTGCCATAAGTATTCCTTTAAAGTCTCTACAAACACAGTCTTTAGTGGAAGTAGTTTGAGTTTTTGACCCTTCTTAGCAAGCTTTGAGTCCATGTTGTTCTCACCAGGTAGTGTCTGGATAGCTGGGAGTTGATACAGTTTCATTCATGAAACTTAAGCACTGTCTTTGATATATCTCTAGGATGTAGCACAAAGCTTTGAGAAGGTTTGATTCTAGGAAGGGATGTCTAATGGACCTTTGAACTTTATCAGTTGGGTTTATCAAGTTACTTCATCTTATTACACCATGTGGTGGATGTGGGATGTAAATACTGTCTACAAGAAGATTATGCTTCAAGAAGTAAATTATGGCACTAATCACATACTTAATATTTATTTTTTTGCCTCTTCCATGTTCTACAGAATATATAGTTAATTAGCATAGGATCTTGGATGAAGCAAGTCCTCATATGAGGATCTTGCCATAGCCTACCTCTGTTCCTCTCCTTCCAGCATCTTTCTGTAGGCATTTATTTCCAGATCTAGAGCCAGTTTCACATCTAAGAGATGCTCATATTCTTCCAACTGTGCTTGTGCCTGCTGCTGGGCTTGTGTTATTTCTTTCTCTTTTTCAGCTATACACCTTTGATGGAGATCACGGTCATAATCCAGCATCCCCTGTAGCTCCTTTATTCTATTCTCCAAAGCAACATTCTAAAATTAAGGGGAAGGAAAAACCAATTAAATCATAACTGAAAATTAGAGAGGAGAGTCCAGTATTTTGAATTAGGTATCTAAATTTAAGTAATTCTAAGGATATACAAATAAAGATAGTACCTGGCTTTGGTATTGATTAACTTGAGATGTCAGAACATCAACTCTCAGCTTTGTTTCCATCAGCTCCTCCCGAGCCGCATTGGCAAAGTCACTGTGTCTCACTGCAGATGCCTGAGCGTTCTGCACCTATGGATAAGTCACTGTTAGTAACGAGTTGCTTATGACCATGTATTTTAAATAAGGGAGGAAAACCAAGTGATTTCCAGCTGTCACAGCTGGAAATAGTTATGTTTTATTGGTATAAGCATATTTAAGTATAGTCCAGGTCAGAAAGTTTTTCATTGCTTTGCAGGGAGGTTTACACAATTTTGACATTTACATCAGAAAGTCAGCAGTAATCAAGTAGTGAAAATTGCTGGATTAGGATATTTCAATTACAGATGCATGAAGTCTTTGTATAGATATGAAGTAAATGGATTCTCCCAACAGAACAATGAAGAATGTTTAGAATATTTTTAGAAGCTAAGCAGCTTCAAAGCATGGGGCTACAGGATATTAGGTGTGCTTATCAAGCTATTGCTCTTCCCCTAAAGTTCTGTTACTAAACAGTTCCTGCATCACTATAAGGAGTACTGAGCTATTTCTAGAGCAATTCAATCTTGAGTTGTTCCAAGAAAGGATAAAGTAGAGCCATGCTACTACAAGAGGCACTCACAGAATTCCACTGGAAACCTGGACAGAAGCATCCAAAGGAATTCACCGAGTTGGCATATAAATTGTAATATAGAGAAAGCCAAAAGAACCAGGAAGAAATGAACACACACACTTGTTGAGAAAAGTAGCAGATAATATGATTCTACACTGAGTATTAAACAAGACTTAGGAGACCAATACCATATGCTGCATCCAAGCCAGAAACCCCTGGGATCATACCTACCAAGAGTATAAGCTTGAAGTATTACTTTTTCCTGCATACGTGGCTAATGTTGGGAAAGAGGTGACAGACCAGTTCTGGAAGACAAACTATCAAGCTACTTCCATAAGCACCCTCTCCCCATTATCCAGCACTAGCAACTGGAAAAGGACATTTGCACTCATACATTTAAAAGTGCACTTGTAGAACTGTAAGAATGTCTTATTTTATGCATTTTAGTAAAATTATAATCAGTAGGTTAAGTTTGATTCAATAATACTGAAATTGCTTAACACAAACATAGCATACCTTAGTCCTGAACATGTCAGACAAGCTCTCAGCTTTGTCAGAAGTCTGAATTATGATCAGCTTTATTCTATTAGCCATTCCTGATTGCTCCCCAAAAGGGACAGTATGGTGCTTGAAACAGTTTTGTTTGGGACCAAGTGTTCATACAATTTCAATTTTAATATTTGACACTACTTTGAAATTCCGTAACAACTTGTACCAAGCAGCTCTGCATTGAATACAAGGGCTCTATCAGTCAGCCTTTTATGTTCATGTGACTATAATCATATCAAGGTGCAAAGAACTTGTTTTCTTTTATTGGCATCTTTTACAGACTCACTCTTGCATTGAATGTTCGCTCCAGCTCCTCTTTGTATCCTTGAATTTGTTCTTCATGTTGTTTTCTGAGCCCCTGCAGAGCATCCGAGACCTTACTTTCAAGTTCTCTCTGACAGCCAGATTCTATTTCTGCTATCCTGCTCTCATGGACTCTTTTCGTCTCCTTGAGCTCCTAGGAGAAGAAATGCCTCAGAGAATAAGCAAAGCAAAACAGTTTCATTTGAGACTGGATTTACTGTACCAGCTTAGCAAGTCATTCAACATTGACACAGATTTATCATTGAGTGCATGGAAATTAATCTTCATTCAGATCTTAGATATTCATCCATTAGGTCAAGTAGTTCCACCTTGTGCTGGATTGTTTTGCTTCCTCACTACCAACATTGCGTAAATTAATACCTGCAGTAGTTTGAATTTGATTTTAAGAATAATGCTTTGTACTAGATTGATTTCTCTGCTTTACTTAAAAACTGAAGTGTGTATGCATGTGTACTTTAAATATTCTTGTTTTATTCAAAAGGTAACAGTACTTGGATAGATAAATTGGAATTCTCTATCACTTAAACCACACACTTTGAGATTCCTTCCAGTTAGAAGGAAGTTGGTTTACATTCACATTTTCTAGTTCTATGGACTGAGTTCTCACACAAAGGTTACCAGACACCTTCGATAAGCATTAAAGAAGCAGGGAACATAAGTTGCTTATTAAAGGAGATTTAACTTCTTCGATTATTTTAGGCTTCCAGCAAACATGTGGAATCATTTAAATTTGATTGTAATAGATGCACTTCTAGTTACACAAAGTAGTATATTGGGATTGTAGTTACCTTCAGAAGTGCAGCCTAAGAAAGTGATCTCATATTCCAGATACCTATCAGTACTATGCCAGTTAACATGAGGTTGTGTACTTTTTCCTATTTTGGTAGATTTTATTGGCTGGTGTGCTGCCATAGGTTGACTCAGCTAGTTACCTTTTTAAGGATAAAGCATATCTTAACTTTGCTTTTAAGCGCATCCAGGAATCATGGACACCTAAAAAAAATATATATACTCGTTCATAAGCTAAAACATACATCTTCATGAAGGTGGTGCTGGAACATGATTTGTTCCTGCAAAGTTTTCATATGATTTTCCAGGTCCACCCTCCTCAACATTTCACTGTTGAGATGTTCTTTGGTATCTTCCAGTGACAGCTGCAGCTAGAAGAGAGAGATATCAGGGTAATCAAACTTAAGAGGTCATTTTTCCAAACTACAACAATCAACTTCATTCCCACAGTTCAACTTCATTCCCACAGCAGTCAAAACACACTGCTTAAGTGAAGTTGGTTACTCTGTTTAAGTTCTTATTTCAGTGGGATCCAGCTTATTAGCAACAGGAAGAACCCTATTTAATTTTTATGTAGGCCAGATTTCCCACACAGCAAGTATAGAGCAGCCCTTCATCCCACCATCTAAAGTTTGACTCCTCAAAGTAGACTTCTGATCAATCAATTGTACCATCCATATACATTCCACCCCTTCACAACATAAAGTATTCCAAACTTCTCCCTAAATTCCAATATAATTTGTTTGATGCTTAATAAATGAAATCCTCCAAATATAGCTAAACTATGTTGACAAACCATTATACTTCCAGCATTGGAGTGTGCTGCTTTAATGATAAAAGTTTGGGGGGGGTGGGTTTTTGGTGTTTTTTTTTTTATCCTGAAGATTTGAAATTAGCTCATTCAGTGATCACATTAAAGCATGATGATACAAAAAACTATGCTCTTAGAAATGCATTTGTAGAGTAGCAACTCAAGCAGAGTTCATTTTAGTAGCACAAGAGCCTACACAAAAAAGTAATCATAAAAATCATAGAATGGTTAGAGTTGGAAAGGACCTTAAAGATCACCTAGTTCCAAATCCCCTGCCATGGGCAGGGACACCTTCAAGCCAGCGATGGGGCATGCATAATCTCTCTTGGCAACCTGTTCCAGTATCTCAGCACCCTCACAGCAAAGAACTTCTTCCTAATATCTAATCTAAATCTACCCTCTTTCAATTTAAAACCATTACCCTATGTCCTATTGCTACAGTCCCTGATAAAGAGTCCCTCATCTTTCCTGTAGGCACGCTTCAGATACCAGAAGGCTGCTATAAGGTCTCCCTGGAGCCTTCTCTTCCCCAGACTGAACAACCCAAATTCTCTCAGCCTGTATTCATAGGAGAGGTGCTCCAGCCCTCTAATCATATCTGTGGCCCTCCTCTGGACTCACTCCAACAGGTCCATGTCCTTCTTATGTTGGAGGCTCCAGAGCTGGACACAGTACTCCAGATGGGGTCTCACCAGAGTAGAGTAGAAGGGCAGAATCGCCTTCCTCAACCTGCTGGCCATGCTCTTCTGATGCAGCCCAGGATGCAGTTGGCTTCCTGGGTTGTGAGTGCACATTGTCAGCTCACATCATTGAGCTGCTGATCAACTAACACCCCCAAATCCTTCTCCTCAGGGCTGAACTGAATAGTCAGAACTTATTTATTCTACCTAGATTTAAGCATAGTGAAGCAGGATCCATCAAATGCTACCTCTGCTGATATGTTAGAAAATGCTACAGGGGCTACAACAATACAACACATTTCAACTTACTTTGTCCTTAGAACAAGAAATATTACATACTTTGGGCATAGAATAGAATTAAAGGTACCTACAACAGGTGGAAATTTTAACAGACCAACTATTAGTAGCATCTGCTTTCAGTAGGATCACAGAAAACTTTTTGTCCACCTGTCATTGCCATAGGTAAGTCTTTCCCTGCTTTTAAATCTCAATAATTAGTTGGGGGAAAAAAACAAGCAAAAGCTTCAGGAATGAAAGCAAAGTTGACATTTCAGGAACAAGTCTTACATTGACTACTTGATCCTTTAATTCACGAAGGTTATTCTCCAAACTTCGGTTCTCATTCAAAGCTGTTGCTAAGTCAGCTTCCTTTGCATTCAGCTGAGCATCAAGGTCTCTCAAATGTGCCTGTGCCAGTTTCAAATCAGCTTCTTTTTTTGAATTCCTGCAAGTGATAGTTTTACACTCATAAGTTGCAGCTGGTAAGCGAGAAAGTTTGTTTTTATTGTGTTTACTTTCACAGGGGTCTGTGGCAGAACTAAAACAGAAGAGAGGTTAGTAACACTTGTGAGAGCACAGGGTAGGCTCAAAGAAACAAACTAGACAGGCCCCTCAGACAAGTATTGTTTCATCAGAAAGATTTCTGACCCAGTTTCCAGCTTGTTTTGTGTGAATCCTATGCAGAAGCCAGCTATTTTCCATGGCATTATCAACCAGAGAGGGAAGGGACAGTGCAGGCCGCTGTCTCCACAGGGAGGGACTAGTCACGCTCAAAGCCAAAGTTAACCAGACCACCATGACCTGCCACCACTGAACAAGCTGCTCACACAGACACCTCCTTTCAGGAGCAAAGGCCACCACCAGCTTCTTAGCAAAGTGCCTACAGGACATTAAAACACACCACTGCTGAGGCCCCAGAGCACCACACGGCCCTCTCACCAGGAGGGAGCAGCCACAGAGGCTGCCTCCACCCTGAGGGAGGCCCCTCAGCCCCTACAGGCAGCCAGGCTGGGTGTGAGCAGCTTTCCTGAGGCAGGGTGGCAGGCGATGCTCGGCCTCTGCGGACAGAGGCAGAACACAGCTCTGGCTGCCAGGCATGCGATTCCTCCTCCCTCACAACCCCCCTGGGACCTTCCTGCCCACAGCACAGGAGACTTGTCCCCAGGAGGCCACTGTCCCAGCCCTGGTGAGCAGGTCCTGTCAGCCCCACATCCCCAGCTGGGGCTTTGCCTGCTTCAGCCCCTCAGCTCCTGCCACAGGGCAGCGAGCCCCCACAGCAGCTGTGCTTCCCTCACAGTGCCCTTGCAAGGGGCTCTTCTCCCTCAGGAAGCATCAGGCCCCCTTCCCTCCTTCACACCATGGCAGAGCTACAGGGCAAGAGATGCTTTGCCTTCAGAAGAGGGCCATTTCACACAAATACTCAGGTACAGAGCCTTTGGGTACCACCTGGATGGCCAATACAGTTGTTTAAGTTGCCAGTTTTACTTGGCACCACAGTAGAGAAGTGCTGGGCCCACAGCAAGTTCCTGTCAGAGAAAGGGGTGGTAATTTCCCAGACTACTCTACTTTCTAAAATCCTTGCAGTTGCCTGACCATTATCCAGAGTCTGACTTCCTGCTCAAAACTCAGATTTGAGATTGCAAAGAGTAAAGTCTTCAATTTATTTTAGCAAAATCTGTTCTGCCAAGTTCTGGTAATTCATACAATGACTTTTCCAGTTGATAACTGAGCAGACCAGTTGGAGAGAGTCCAAAGCCATTCTGCAGGAGTGATCAGCTCTAGAAAGCTTGGACTGCAAGGAAAGATTAGGAAAAAGTAAGGGTTGTTTAGTCTAGAGAAGAGAAAAGTGACAGGAGACATAACAGTCTTTACATACATTAAAGACTGCTGCAGAGAAGAAGGGAATCTGTTTTCTATGTCAGTTGTGCAAAAGACAGGAAGTTGCAGGCTTAAATTGCAGAGAGGAATCCCTGCATTAGATGTTAGGAAGAGTAAACCAACAGTAGTTCAACACTGAAGCACATTGCCTGGGGGGGGGAATATTCTGGAATTTCCATCATCTGGAATTTTAAAAAAGGGTTATGCAAACATCTGCTGGAAGGGATGCAGGTATGGTTGGTTCCAACACAGGCCTGGGGCCTGAGGCTGCATCAAGTTCTTGCTCAAGGCCTTTTCTAACCATGCTGTTCAGAGACATTTGTTGTCTGTTTCTCATACTTCATGACTATGATGCAAACCCAAATATTTTGCTAGCAGAGGTTACTTATCCTTTACTCAGACTCCAGGAAAAAAGTAACTCTACTGGTGTAACGATGAAAAACAAGATCATGTATTGTAGGTTTTTTAGTATTAACATTTTTTTCTTTTTAGGCATTAATTAGCCACCTTCCTTTTGGTATCTCTGCTACCACTACCACTTACTGTTAGTATTAGTTATGATATTAACAAGTACATCCATAACACTACTAGATAATATTGACTGTTATGTAACTACACTACATAATATTGACTGTTTTCATCCTAAAATAATATAAATTCCATTCTGCAATCAAAGTGCATGCAAGACTGAAATTCCATTAGTATCTGCATTTTAACAGTCCACTTTCCTGATGCAGGCTTCTACAGCCAGGTTCATGTTTCCTGTGTTCTTTCCCGACAAACATTATTTTCAGTGAGTCATTTCATCTTTAATAACAGTAATTTAACAACTCTGGCTTTGACAAGAGCATTTACTACCCTTTTAAACCAAGTTTGGGGTTCAAAACCCCACTTCACATTATTATGCAGCAAACAGTGACAGTAACTCTACAACATTCCATGTACCAACCACTCCACAACTAAGCACAGCTTACTAGCTATAAGTTGCAAGCAATAACTTTGAGACACTGCCATTTACATTCCTTGTAAATCAGGGTGCCACATATATTTGAACTGGAGAATTTAAATAATTTTACCAGAAAGTTCAGTATGTTTGAAGCAGACTCCAGTTTGTCAAGACAAGAGGACATTAACAGCACTTGCAGAATTCATTCTTACAGCATCAGCTTGCTACACTGCTTATTTTGGGTTCAGTAGCAAAATGCACATCTCTGCTCTCTGGTGCAGAAAGAAACTGGTCTTGTCTTTCTCTGCTGTGCTACTGTAGTTGCTTTGACCTTCCTCAGGCTCCAAATTCAACCAACTGATATGCTTATCCACAGCTCCTCCTCCCCAAATGGCTTTGGCCTACTTCCAATTACCACTGTTTAAATAGTAAAAAAAAGCTGAACTGCAAGCACACTTCATTGTTGCTGAAGCTTTAAGTCTCTTTACCAGCAATTAATAAGAGTCAATGGTTAATGCTGTGTGGAAGTTATCTGGTGACATTCCATCCTATAAGAGTTCCAGGTTATTTAAAGGGTGTGTATATATAAAGGGCACGATACCCTCAAAGCAGTATGTTTCCAAGTCATCTGAGACATTTGCAGTTAGACATCCCCAGATACAACATACTCATTAATATTAGGATTTCAGTCTAGTCCTTTCAGAAATCAGCACATACTCTGTATGATTTCCCATGGGCTGTGAAGTTAACCACTTCTAAGACCTAGTTACTTTAAAGAAAAAAAAAAAAATCAGTTCAGAGGATTGCAAACCTGCCAAGCCTAAAGCTTTATAAACAAAGCCAGAGTTACACAAACACAAAGAGCAGCAGAAAAGTTTTAGAACTAGCATTGCCCCTCTCCTCACTGTCCACTCAAGTGGCTGGTTAGATTTATGAAACAGATCTACAAGCCAAAACCCAGCATGAATGAGACAAGCCAAAGAACTTCTAAGCAGCTGAAAACAGAAGCTTAGAGTAAAAACACATTTTATTCCCAAACAGAACAGCTATTTGAGTCCTACTGAGCCTGAGGAGGCAGTATTTGCTCCATACAAATGTTCAAAGAAAAAGCTGCTGCCTAAAGGTGCTACAACACAAGTTTATAACAAGAATTAGAGGGCCTGTGGACAGCAAAATTATGGCAAGTTTATAATTGATTTAGCAGTATAATGGGGCATTAAAATAACTAGCAATGCTCGTACTCTGTATATATCCATAAAGAAAGCTTGTTGGGATTGGACACTTGTTCCCTCCCCTTCACTCTACGCATCTTTTTCCCTCCTTCAAGAGATTTGATTGCACTTACATTGGGCCACTGCTTTGTTCCAGGCTTGGCGAGACTAGACAACAAGATGATGCCAGGCTTAGGATACACAGCTGGCAAGAAAGTCAAGCCTGAAACAGCAGGCAGTTCATCCCTGTAGCATGCAAGTCAAGACCTAAATGCCACTAGGACAATTTCCATGAAGTACCAGCCTGGACCAGGTAAGATGTACTGCGCACAGGACTACCTTTTCTGTGTATTCCCCTCTAGGGGAGCTAAAAGCCCCCAAGAGATGCAAGATGACTCCATACAGAGACTCCTTCCCCTACACCCATAACTTTCTAGATGCTTTCCAGCATAACAGCTTCTTGAGTGTTTAGAAACACAGGTATGATGCCAAACCCAGTAAGCTATGCATTCATGCAATACTATTCCCATAAAGCCACCCAACACCTCAAGTTTGGGGGAACCCCCACACCCATCACAGGGAGGTGCTGCGGTGGCCCAGCAGCACATCTCCAGAACAGACGTTAGGATTTCTCCTAACCCAAAACACCCCAACCGCACAGGGCCACACCTTTGGGGTGTCCCCACGACCCAGACACCCCACAGCACTGAGCACTCCCTCCCCAGCACACAGCTGCTGGTGAGCAGCATCCCCTTCCCCTCGCCCTACAAGAGCCCCGAAGAGGCGGCCGCGGCCCCGGGGCAGTCCCCCGCTGGGGGCCCGGCAGGTGCGGCGGGCGGACCGGGACACCGACCTGCTGTGCAGCTGCCGGTGCTCCTCGCCGATCTTGCTCAGCTCTATCTGCAGCGTGGCCCGCTCGATGGCGATATCGTCCAGCGCCCGGCGGGCATCGGCCAGCTCCGCCTCGTAGCAGAGCCGCAGGCTTTGAAGCTCCGGCTCGCCCCCCGCCTCCTT